TCACTGTATTTTTATTTATAAACTAGAGGCCTGGTGCATGAAATTTCATGCACTGGGAAGGGGTGGGGGTCCCTCAGCCCAGCCTGCGCCCTCTCGCAGTCTGGGATTCCTTGGGGGATGTCTGCTTGCCTGGGGGGAGCAGGCCTAAGCCAGCAGTCAGACATCCCTCTCACAGCCTGGGACCCCTTGGTTCTTACCGCTCACCTTACTCGCGAGCCATGAGCCTGGCTTCTGGCTGAACAGTGCTGCTCCTTAGCGCTGCCTTGGAGGCAGGAGAGGCTCCCGCCACCGCCAAAGCACTCGCCAGCCATGAGCCCAGCTTCTGGCCGAGCAGCGTTTCCCCTGTGGGAGTGCACTGACCACCAGGGGGCAGCTCCTGCATTGAGCGTCTGTTCCCTGGTGGTCAGCATGCATCATAGAGGCCAGTTGTTCCACCACGTAGTCAATTTACATATTAGGATTTTATTATATAGTATGACATGCAGGAAAGCTCTTTGTTTTGGAATATTTATCATGTAACCACCCAGTTTCCTGAGCTCAGTGTTTCTAATGGATTTTCACCTTATAAGGTATATCATCACATCTTTTGCCAAAATGAAAATTGTTACTCTTAACTTTTTCATTTTATGCCCTTTATTTATTTTATAAATTTATATATTATGGCTTTTGCTAGAACTCACAGAATGATGTTAAAATCAAGCCCTGGCCAGTGTGGTTCAGTTGGTTGGGCATCATCCCATGCACCAAAAGATTACCGATTTGATTCCTAGTCAGTGCACATGCCTGGGTTGCAGGCTTGATCTCTCATAGGGGCATGCAAGAGACAACCAATTGATGATCTACTCTCACAATGATGTTTATATATATAAATATATTGATTTCAGAGAGGAAAAGAAAGAAAGAGAGATAGAAATATCAATGATGAGAGAATAAATTTTCTGGTTCCATTTTTCTATTACTTGGATTTTGAGATATGTTTTATGATTATAAATGAAAAAGTGCAACATAATTTAGAAGTTATCTAATCTAAGAGAAACATGCAAATTGACTGCACCTCCGCTATGCCCCAAGTCATGCCCACCAGCCAATTAGAGCGATTATATGCAAATTATCCCAACCAAGATGGCGGCCAGCAGCCACAGAGCTGGAGCAACCAGGAGGCTTGGTTGCCCTGGTGATGGAGGAAGCCAAGGAGGAAGCCAAGCTTCCTGCCTGCGGCCTCTGTTCAAGGCAACAAAGTTTCAATTATAGAAGATAAATACATCCCAGATACCTGCTTCCAGCCAGCCTCCACTGGGAGCTTGGGTGGCTGGGGGCCATGGCCATCCTGCAAACAGCCATCAGCCCCTCACCCAGGCTGGCCAGGCACCCCAGGGGGGACCCCCACCCTGAAGGGGCTGTGGCCAACCTGCAAACAGGCTTCAACCCCTCACCCAGGCTGGCCACACCCTCATGGGGTGAGGGTCCCTGCTGGGGGCCATGGCCATCCTGCAAACAGCCATCAGCCCCTCACCCAGGCTGGCCAGGCACCCCAGCAGGGACCCCACTCTGAAGGGGCTGTGGCCAGCCTGCAAACAGCCATCAGCCACTCACCCAGGCTGGCCAGGCACCCCACCGGGGACCCCACCCTGAAGGGGCTTGGCCATCCTGCAAACAGCCATCAGCCCCTCACCCAGGCAGGCCAGGCACTCCAGCAGGGACCCCCACCCTGAAGGGGGTGTGGTCAGTTTGAAAACAGCTCTCAGCCCCTCACCCAGGCTGGCCACACACCCCAGCAGGACCCCCATCCTCATCCAGGACACCCTTCAGGGCAAACCAGCTGGCCCCCACCCATGCACCAGGCCTCTATCCTATATAATAAAAGGGTAATATGCAAATTGACCTTAACAGCAGAACAACTGGGAATGACTGGTCACTATGACACACTGACCACCATGGGGCAGAAGCTCAATGTAGGAGCTGTCCGCTGGTGGTCAGTGCACTCCCAAAGCGGGGGCTCTGCTCAGCCACAAGCCAGGCTGATGGCTGCCAGTATAGCAGTGGTGGTGGGAGCTTCTCCTGCTTCCTCAGCAGCGCTAAGGATGTCTGACTGCAGCTCAGGCCTGCTCCCCACTGGCAAGTGGACAGCCCCTGAGGGCTCCTGGGCTGCCAGAAGGATGTCTGACTGCCGGCTTAGGCCCAATCCTCCGGGGAGTGGGCCTAAGCCAGCAGGTGGTCTCCCCCCGAGGGGTCCCAAACTGCAAAAGGGCACAGGCCAGGCTGAGCGACAAATTTTTGTGCACCGGGCTGCTAGTCTACATATATAAAAGGCTAATCTACTAAGTGTCCCTCCACCCATCCAACTGGTTGCTATGATGTGCACTGACCACCAAGGGGCAGACACTCAATGCAGGAGCTGCCATAATGCACACTGGCCATTTATAGAGAAATGGCAGCACGGACCTGGTGCCAACAAAGCAACACTTGGCTTTCCCCAAGTGGGACACAGGCCCCACCACCACCAGAGATATCCCACCAAATCGCAGCCAACGCTGCCATGGTGCAAAATACAGCCAACAACCTAGCCCAGCCTGGAAACGGTGGCTGTGGGTGTAGGGTAATGATGTCACATAGTAATGCCTGGCTTCCTCTCCCTAGTGACTAGCCTCCTTGCAGTTTCTTCAGCCCAGGAGCATGACTTGCTTTATAGCCAGGTGGAAACATTTACACTTTAACCAATGTCTGTGAAGCTTTTTCACGTGCCTCATCTCACTTGATCCTCACAGAAGTCCTGGAGTAGGTAGATAGGAGACTCAGTAGAATCCTATTTTCTTTTCATTAGCAAGACAACAGAGATTTAGAAAGTTTAGAAACTTGACCTGAATGAAAAGAAGAAATGGTGGACCTTGAAAATGACTTCAGGTTTTCTCACTGCGCAGAATATAGTCAAACACTGCTGCAGTTAAATATTTTACCCTTTGTTCTCCCTGTGTGATCTACAATAATAATCTGCTTCATGTTGATATTTACTGCTGTGTTGCTGACAATTACCTGAAGGAGAAGTTGGGGTGCTTCATTGGGCTGGAAAAAGTTTAGCTAAATCAGAAAGCAGGTTTAATTAAGCAAGTTTATTCTATATCTATAAAAGGCTAAGTTGACTTGTGCATGTGTGATACATATAAAGCTCTTGCTGGCGCCAATCGCACTCATGTGTTTCCATCTGTCATTGTCGATCATAAATTTGGTTGACACTTCTATTATAGAGAAAGGGTGAATAGCGATATTAAAATAGTTCTTCTAATAAATTTCCTTTTAATGTGCACGAATCTGTGCACTGGGACACTAGTAAATGAATAAAAGATATACTCATAAGCATATAAGACTGGCCAAGAGAGTGAATGTCAGGAGAAGGAGTCAATAGCTGTGGGAAGTTCAGGGCAATGGAGAGAACCAAGAGGACAATAAAGATCTTTTGCATCATTCATGTCTTCACAGTGTTACAATGCACCCTGTGCCTATGTGGAAGTTGTTCTCCCAGAGGTTGGAGACGAGTTGTCCTATTTTAAACAAAATTGTGATTTTCCTATTTTAAACAAAATCTAGTATTTGGCTATATATTCCAGAAGTGTGGGGAAATCTTTATGCTGGTAGAAGTACAGGGATGGAGTTAGGTGGCGCAGTGGGGGCTGAGGGGAAGCTCAGCTCTGCCTGGGTAGCCTCAGTTCATTGTTGCAGGTGGGACCAGGAGCAGAGCTCAGGTGAACTTGTCCTGTTTGCCTTTTCCCTCCTCTTTCCTGTCCTCCTATTGCTATTGCCTTTCTTCCAAAGCAACTGTGGGACTGTGATCCAGAAAGGGCTCTCTGTTACTCTTCCAGTTCTTTCATTTTTTATGCCATATGTGAGAAGGAAGGGGAGCACTGTATTTTGTGTGCCATGGCCATGATGTCCCCCGCCCCCCGTCCCTCACCCCCACCCCCCGCCGCATCTACTAAATTGATTCCTATGGCTTTCCAAATGTTGGGAAAAGAATCAGCCAGGCTGTTCTCAGCACCAGGAAAGCATTTCACGTGTAGGGTAGTAGATCCAACAGCTATTCTCTGATTAAATAAAAGGAAACCTTCATGGTTACACATATTGCAAAGAAGATGGAAATAGAATGAAGGTGACTCCTTTACTGTAATCTATTGGTATACTACATGTGATCCAGTAGCATAGATGCAAATCACTAATCCTTGTCATTGTTTCGTGGCCACCTCACAAAATGGCACTATCCAGCAAAATATTATTTAGTAGCAAAATATATTTTAATTGAAACATCATTTTCAGTATCTGAATAAAAATGTGTACCAGGTACTTTCCCAACAGACAGCAGAGTATGTACATTTTGTGAGTGGAGCAGCATCTATTTAATATATTTTTATATAGAAAATACAGGCATATTTAAAAATGGAAACATGTAAGAAAGTACGTCACAAGAAGGAACAAAATATAACACAAAATAAAAAGGTAAACCCCAAATAACATGTGTACTACACAAAACGAGACCCAGCACCGTGTTGGAATTTCTTTGCGTAAGTTCTGGGATGCCCAGGGCTACCAGGAAGAGATGACCCTGTTCTTAGGGAGAGCGCCTTGGTTGTGCAGTGGTTAAAACCCAGTCCTCCTTTTCCTGGAACAAAAAACAAAACAAAACAGAGAGATTCAACAGAAAAGACTGAACTGAAGAGGTAATAGCCCCTTTGGGGTCAATTTGAACAGGATTGAAAGTCTCAGATACCTGGGCATTATCCATGGCGCTGTTTGTACGGATGGGAGTCATTCCTTGAGACAACTAAAGGGCATGAAGATCATGTGCTAACTCATGAAAAAATCTGAGAATCAGCAGACCCGGGTTTTAGCCTTGGCTTTGTCTCTAGTTTCCTGTCTGATAATCCTCTCATCTGTAAACTGAGGGGTTTGGACTTTGTGAAAGGTCTCTTATAGCTTTCACAGTCTATAATTTTTATTTGTGGTATTTGTTTAGGATCAATTTTACGAAGAAGCATACAGAGATCGGGGAAACACAATCCCCTTTTTAAGGATTGAACTACCTGGGAACCATACCAGGTGAGTCTTATTCATTGGTAGAGAAGGTAACTGGTTGAGGTATTTAATTAATGCTACAGGGCATTTTTTTTTGCTGGCTGTCACAGATGCCCAGAAATCGCTCCATCTGTCAACAAACATTTGTTGAGCATTAATTTTTGTGCCTGTGCTAAGCACGAGGGATACAATCTTTTGCCTACTCGATCTCATGGGAGAGAAGAAAATAAAAAATGATTTGTAAACATTTATTGTTCTAATTTCTCAGAAAAGCTTCCTCCCCTTCCCATTTCAGGGACTTATATTCCATCTTCTTTCCTCTGGGAACTGCCAGCCTCCTCTCTCCTTTACCCAAAGGTAAGGTAAAAGTTTTGACAAGAAGACTCTTCATGTTAGTACGACATAGCCCGACCTAGGACCACAGTTGACTGATTGATTCATGGTTGGCCCCTGAATGCACCTGGACTAGGCAGTTCTGGATTTTTAAACTGGGTCAGAACACTGTTTCAGTGGATACAGTAGTATGACGTGTAAATGCAGGGGCTGCAAGCAGTTCTGTCCTTTCATGGGAACTGAACAGCAGAAAAAACCACTCTGCAGCAAGAGGAGGGAGGGAGTAGATGCTGGAGAGAGAAGGAGAGGCAGGAGGTGGAGAAGCTTCAGGTGGCTTTCAAGTCCTCAGTTGGATCCTCCTGAGGTTCAGCCATCCATGTAATCGGGTTCCACACAAGGCCCCTCAATTGTGATAACAAATTCCTTTCTTTGCTTAAGCTAGTTAGAGTTGCAATTAGAGAGTCCTAACTAATATGGATCTTCTAGAAAAATGGCTCACAGTATAATGGGGGGCAGAAGGGGGGAGAATGCCCAGTCCTTGAATGTGGGATACACTTCCCAGCTTAATTTGCCATATATTTTTTGATTCCTTTATCAAACGTTTGCACAAAAATGTAATTTTGTTCTCTTTATTAGACAGTATTTTCACATAGGCTAAAAACCTCCCTTCCCCTTGTCAAAAAAGACTCCTTTGGTAGTATTTTGATGTTAGGAAACCACATAAACGCAGGCTTCCTTTTCTTATTTGAAAGAATTGAAATAGAAAGTCTAAAATTATAAGAATGTTATAAATAGTTCCTGTTCCTTTTTGAGTCACTGTAATTCTTATTCCTTTTATTTTCTCTCTCCTCTTACTTTCCCCAGAAATCGATTTCAGTTTGACTCTCATTTTTTTGTATCATTCAACTCTACTCTCAATGAAAGTATCATCTTTATCTTGGAAGCTTCTATATAGACTTGTACAATCCAAGCTTGCTCTTTAGGGTTCAGTTTATTTTTTCTCTCTGCAGAGATGGCATATGCTTGAGATGATATGAGGACATTCATTGGCACAAGATGGATTTTTTTTGTTAATGAAATTCTTATTTAAATAGATTATTGTCCTTAAAAGTTGACTTTGACATTCCAATCAAAATAAAATAAAAGGAAATGAAAAAGAAGAGTTGTTTTCAATTAATTAAATTTCCCATTTTTAAAAGTGAATATGCTCTTTGTTTTCAATGACTCCTATAAGATTGAAGTAACTGTACATTATACAAATCTAAATGATGTAATGCAATAGTGCATTTTGAAAGTCATAAAATAGAGCTGGTACTACTCCAACATTGCAACATTTTTATATTGAAAATATCCATGGTATGATGACAATTTAGTTGATATTTCCTGAGGTTTAAAACAGTCAAGAAAGAACAACGCTGGAAGCATTATGTTTCTGATTTCAAACGATATTACAAAGCTATAGTAATCAAAACAGTATAGCATTGCCATAGAAGCAGATACATAGATCAATGCACAGAAGAGAGAACCCAGAAATAAATCCAGGCACACATAGTCAATTAACTAATGACAAAGGAGCCAGAATCTACAACAGGGAAAGGATAGTCTCTTCAGTAAATGCTATTGGGAAAACTGGATGGCATGTGTAAAGGAATGAAACTATGTTATATCATACAAAAAATTAACTCAAAATGAATTAAAGAAAATATGGGCAGTAAGCTCCTTGACATTGATCTTGGCAATGATTTTTTGGATTTGATACCAAAAGCAAAGGCAACCCAAGACAAATCAACAAGTGGTACTACATCAAACTAAAAAGTTTATGCACAGCAAAGGAAACTATAAAAAAAAAAGAAAAGGCCACCTACTGAGTGGGAGAAAATGTTTGCAAATCATGTATCTGATAAAGAGTTAATTTCCAAAATATATAAAGAACTCATATAACTCAACAACCAAAAATCAAACAATCCAATTAAAAAATGGGCAGAGGATTTGAATAGACATTTTTCCCAAAGAGGACATACAGATGGCCAATACACATGAAAAGATGCTCAAATTACTAATCATTAGAGAAATGCAAATTAAAACCACAATAAGGTATCACCTCACACATGTTAGAATGGCTATTATAAAAAAGACAAAAATAACAAGTGGAGAAAAGGGAACCTTGTGCATTGTTGGTGGGAATGTAAATTGGTGTAGCCACTATGAAAAACAGTAGAGAGAGTCCTCAAAAAAAAAAAAAAATAGAACTACCATAAAATCTAGTAATTCCACTTCTGGAATATTATTCAGCCATAAAAGAGAAGAAAATATTGCCATTTTCAACAACAATGATGGATCTTGAGGGCATTATGCTATCTGAAATAAGTCAGAGAAAAACAAATACTGTATCACCTCACTTAAGTGTGGAATCTAAAACAAACCAAAAAATCAAAACCAAACTCATATACAGAAAACAGATTAGTGGCTGCAAGAGGTGGACTGAAGGAGTGGAAGGTTGGTGAATGGAATAAGAAATCAAAAGGAACAAACATCCTGTTGTAAAATAAATAAGTCATGGGGATGTAATGTACAGCATGGCAACTATAATTAATAATATTGTATTGCATATTTGAAAGTTAAGACAATAAATCTTTTTATCTTAACAGTTCTCATGAAACAAAAAAAAAACATTTTGTAACTATGCATGGTGATAGATGTTAACTAGATTTATTGTTGGGATCATTTCACAATATATATACAGATATCAAATCATTATGTTGTACACTTGAAATAATGTAATGTTGTATCTATGCCAATCCACAATTTTATAAGAAACCTTATTTTTTAAACGATTTCCCCTTTGACTTATTTTTATGATCTTTTCTCAATTATATTTATCTAATTAGATATTAGAAACCAATTGACAGAACATATATTTACATAACATTTTTGTAGTCAATTACATTTATTTTTGTTGTAACCAGGAATGCAAATGAAGGTCAATAAATGTATTGAGTTTATTATTTACTTTACACTCTTAAGTGTAAAAAAATACAATCTTCTATTCAAGAAGGCAGTTGACTTGTTTAACCCTTTTTTTATGGAAAAATATGCAATGCTTCACGAATTTGAGTCATCCTTGTGTAGGGGTCAAGCTAACCTGCCCTGTATTATTCCAATTTTGGTATATGTGCGGCCAAAATGAGTACAAGATTATTTACTTTTGAGGCATCATTGTTTGATTTGTCAATCCTTAACTAATATTTCTTTGTGTTGGCTTTAGTTCAAATTTAGAGAGTGTATCTCACAATGGACATTTTTGGATATAAAATGCTCACCCTCACACTAGAGATACCTTCTGGTTCTTGAACAACTTAACCTGAATTTTTATCTCTTTATGTTATTGATAAACATTAGTCTTTGGTTGTCTTACCTGGAACAGTCATGTCCAGTCCAAGCTGAGAGACAATGGCATCGGTTTGGTCTTACGCATTTTCCACCATTTAAGCAGGGAGACTGGCAAACAGCTGGGATAAAAAAATGCATGCATTTATTTAATCAGCACTTAGCAATCCTGAAGAAGTCCAATAAGCATGTAAGTAAGATTTGACTCTGTTTTCGTCTCCAGCCACCAACACTCCTCAGACTGTTTACATTATGCATTTCTGCCCCTTCGCTTGACCTCATGTCCTTCTGTGGCTCCTTCCAAGCTAGTTATTTTCATATTTAAGTTCCAGGTTAAGTTCTACCTATGTATTGAAATCTTTGCTGATAACTTCAAGTCCACTGTTTTTTCTCTTCTTTAATATTTTTATTTATGTAACTAATTTGGCACATACTGTTTTGAACTGTGAACTTTTCATATGCTCAATTAGACTGTAAATCCCTTGAGGGAGCTAGCACTGAACTCTATGATTCAGTCATTACATCAGACATCAACTCATGATAATAAATCAGGCAAGAGCTTGTCTAAAATAACAGATGACTCAAAAGCCCTTGTGTTGGCTAGGAAACATATTTCATGACTTTTACTGGCCTTAATTAGAATGATAGAACCTGGAGTAGAGTTAAAAATTAGCCACAGATGAAACCCTGAATGAACACTCAAAGATTTACTATAAAGACATCTTCCTTACAAATTCATAGTCTCATCACCAAACTCTTCACTTGCATGAGTCTATTTGTTAAAGAACCCTAGGATGCTAAAAACTGATAAAGACCCAACACCAGCAGGTTTAACATATCAAAGAGAAAGGAGAACATCCTACAGGGAGGAAATGAAATGCCTGTTGAGAGAAATGAGAAACATTTCAGTTTCAATTTCAGCCTCATGATAGCTTGGAAAGGTAAGCTTCCCCAGATGAACAGTTCATCTTTGGTGAGATATAAATAGATGTTCTTCTTTAATCATTCATGCATACAATATGGGGGGGGGGGGTATGTAGAATGCCAGCCAGTACCAGGCACTTGGGTGGAAGAGAGAGGACAAGAAATAAAACATTAGTCTATGTCCTTGGGGAGCCGTCTTGGTGAGTGAAGAGCAAGAGTAGGCCAACAGAATGCACATCTGTGCAATACAGTAAAAGGAAAGTATGAAACAAAGCAGGCTTAAAAATAGTAAAAATGAAGCCCAATAATTTAAAACCAACTCTCCATAGATTCTGTGTACCAATATAAAAAATATTACTCCTTTTCAGGAGCATGATGATTTAATGGTGCCTGACTGTACTAAGCACTTACTTTCTCTTCCTTGTCTAAAAGCTTAACATCTTCCTCCTTCCCTTTAACATGGGAGCTCCCATTGGTCCCTTCTGAGCCACCTTCTCATGCCATGGGTCTTCTGCATAGTCTTATTCTTTTTCCCCATGAATTTTTTTCCAATGATAACCCACAAATTTCTAACTTCAATATAGATGTATCTTCTGGGAGCAATCAGCCACCTGCCTATCAGACCTCTCCCTTGTATGTTCCACAGGCCCCTCAAAGTGAGTCAATACTTAACTCCTTATCTAAACCTCAAACCTGCTCCTCTTGGGGTCTCTGTCTCAGTAAATGGCACCATCAGAGACCCAAACTGGAAATATCAGTGTTGACTCTTCTCAGACCTTTACTCCCACAATGAAACCTTTAACTGAGTAGCGTTGATTCACCTTCCAAACTTCTCTCAAATCTATTTGGGTTGTCACTTCTCCAGACTTTATTACTGCTTGTCAATTCTGCTTTGATAACTTCCTAACTGGTCTCCTTGTAAGTCATGCTTTCTGCCATTATCCATACTGCTGCCAAAATCATTTTTCTAAAAGAAAATCTGATTGTGATTTTCCCACTTAAAACCCTTCAGTGGCTTCTGCTGCTCACTAGACATGATCCAGCATTTTGAACTTGGCACTCAAAATAAATATTTTTCTGAACCTCTGACACTAAGATGCCTGACAACTCAGTCAACTTAGCTGCTCTTCTCTGGCACATGACTCTGAAAGGTAACTTTGAGGCATTCGGATCCACCATTAGAGGGGCCATTTGAGGAATTCTTGAGAAACCTGATACCCTTTCTTTCACTGCCACCTGGGAATCTGAGTCCTACTCATCAATGTCCTCTAGGGCTTCAAGGAGCTAAGTCACCAAGACAACAAACCATGATAGGACACCTACCTGTATGACAGCGGGACCCCGTCCAGCCAGGTGGGCAGTCGCACTGATAAGGGGCCACACAGCGACCACCATTCAGACAGGGAAGAATGCATATTGCTAGAGAGGAGATCGAAAACGATTTAATGAAAATACACACACTAAGATATGTTCACGCGTTCAAAAAACATGATCCAGGAGGAGTAAAACCTTGTATGACCCACGAGAGAACTTCCCATATGTGTTGTGTTTATTAATCAGTATCACTGGGGAAACACAATTAGGAAAGTAACTCTGGCCTCTTAGCCTGCAGTCATGACTGATGCCAAATGCGCTCCTTTGGAGAAGACCCACTGTAATCAATATCTGCTAAGTGCTTTGCTTTCCCTTCACAGAATAAGCAGAATGTTCCCCATTTATTGCAGTTTCACATTTCCATTACAAATTACATAAAATGCTCTAAGAGGGTTTGGCTACCACGAGGCACTCTTCTTGTCTTGAATTAAATGTGAAAATGGGAGTCAGACAGACTATCCTACAGGCTGTTGGCAACACATTGGCAGAGATGGGAAAACTTGCTCTTTATTTCCTTGGAGCCGAGGCCTGATGGTGATTGAATCAGGCCTCTCCTATACCCTCCACAGTAAACGTTCCTCCTATTGAGCTCTTCAAAGAGGTGTAGTCTGTTTAAAAGGAGTGAGATTGTCTATCAGTTTGCTATTCCAAGTGTGGTTCTCAAACCAAAAGTATTGGCATTACCTAGGAATTGGCTGGAAATGCAGAATCTCAGGTCCCAAATCATCTACTGAATCAGAATCTGCATTTAACAACATCTCCCAGGTGATCTGTGTGCACATTAAAGCCATGAGGGCGGGTGCATGCTCAATGAGATAAGCAAGGCCTGTTGTTAGGGCACCCAGGGTAAATGTTTCCTGAGTCTTTGGACTCCTGCCATTACAGCAGGTCAAGTATGGAAACCTTAAGTGGGAAGGAATGACTGGGGAGAAGAGGAAGAAAAATGTAATTTCTCTCCTTTCTTCATCACTGTGAGAATACTTGCTATGGTGAGTTGTTAATGACCTGAATTTATTTCCATCTTATATTTTCCTTTCTAGATTAGT